ATGCACTGTGTGAACATTCCCATGTGTCACTTCTGTATACAGACTTTTATGATTGTAGTCAAGGTCTTAGACCGATTCTTGTATGGATTCTATCCCTACCTATGTATCACACACATGCTGTGGAGCCACTCAATCCTGACAATAATAAAATTTTAAAATAGTGCCATATTAGATTGCTAGAAGTTGATAGTTAGCAAAAGCATCATCTCATGCATAGCATGTGGTCTTCACAGCAACTCTGGGTGATGTACGTCGTTATTCTCCATGTTTTACAGAGTGTTAGTATGTGTTCTGCCTTTTCAGTCCATAAATAACAGTGACAGAGTTGAGTGTGTGTTCCACATAGCCATGCTGGCTCACTTGTGCAAATGTTGGTGGTGCTAAAGCACTTGGTGGTTTTCTTGAAGAAATAAACACATGTCAAAGTCAATTCTAAGTGGGTCTTAAGTGATGAGCTGCTACATAGATGATATAGGGCATATGTTCACATGAAGGACCTTGCAAGTGATCTGAAATAAATGCCTCTGAGAGATACGGGGCCTCAGTGCTGTGCGTCAAAGTGTGAGCAGGAAGTGGTGAAGGCAGAGGAGGAAAGGGTTTTCTAAAAAGATTATATATGTGGATCTAGACTAGGTTAGTGGGGTTGAATCTGAAACACCATGCTCAAACTGTCATTTTCACATGAGACACCACAAAGCATTTGACTTTTCCTTATGAATTACCAGAAAGATCCTGGGTTTGAAATTGGAGATCGGCGAGAGGGAAGCGATCCCATAATACCATATAAGGTAGATTGGAAGAGGCAGAGCCTAGAGGTGATTTTTAGTCTCTAGTGAAAAGTCAGGTGGAAAAAAATCCAGAACCTCTTATGTAAAGGAAGTTACTGAGGCAGATGGTTTTAAAAGAGCTGATATCAGTGAGAGCAAATTTCACACGATGAAAGGACACAGAAAATATATTCTGTCAGTGGAAATCTTTCAGAGGACAGTTTCTTGGGGTGATTGATGAGAAAGTTGAGGTTTCATGCAGTGAGATAGTAGCCATAGCTGATGTTTACCACATAGTTAGGAAGCTTTGTAGCAGACAAAATAACACTACAGGTAAGGAAACCACAGGAATAAAGAAATAATAAAAGGAGTAACAAAAGGCCTTTATGAGGTAGGGGAGCATGTTGGTGGATTTTGGGAATTTGGGTGGGTAGAGGGGAGCAAACTAAAAACAGATCAATTCTAACTCAGGAATTAAGAGTCTTTCTACATAGAAAAACTGTTTTCTCAAAGTTATTGATAGAAACTCTTACGGAAGCTAATTTTCAAGTAGCCAGCTCTTGAAGTCCAAAGAAAAGTCTGTCGTCACACTTTCCAATACTGGAAGCCTCCTCCTCCAGCCCTTTTTGAGTCATTCTAAGAATTACAGAAAATTGAATGAATGAGAAAAGCCTTGTTAGCCAACCTTGTCTATCCTTTTCAAGTACAGAACTGTTACCTACTGTGCATTTTCTAGTCTCCAGTGATTTTTACCACTTCAAGGGAACAGCATTCTCACCGCTTCCCTCGGAATACTATTTCATAATCCTGTTGATCTCACCGAATGGAAACTTGTCCCCATCCTGTTGTTTCCTTCCTGCTGTGCACTTTGTACATCAGTAACAAGTTTCCCTTAGTTACCCCCTGTACCTTTATACCCATCCACTTTTATTCATATCCAGTTCTAGAACACCTTTTCTGGAACATCCAGTAGACAAATCATTCTGCACATCTGTCAGGTTAAAGGATTTCAATGTAATGAAAGATGATTCATCAGAGCTTTACGTTGACACTCATCATGAACACTTAAAAAAAAAAAAAGACTGATGGCAGTTGTTCCACCTGGCAGCCCTGTGCACAGGTTCGCTTGACCCCCCCAAAGGAGTATTCCAAAATGCAAGTGTTTGTGTAATTTCTCTGGTGAATGCTCACACTTAAGCCTTTCAGATAAAGTCCAAACTCTTGATCACGAACTACTTTTCCAGCTTCATCTGCTTATTTTTCCTACAAGCTTTCTCTTTCATCGACCCTTTCACAAGACTTGCCACTCTGGACGCAGTATTCTCAAATCTTAACATTTCTTGGCAAAGAGTAGTATTTTGTAATATAATGTGGCCTATGTAAAATAATGCAATAGATGTACTTGAAATAAATGTTTATTAACTAAAGGAAGAACAGGCAGAGCCTAAGTATAACAACATTTAGGTTTAAGGAGCTAGTGAGTTCTACGTTTGTTCTGTGGGTACCCTTAATGTTAGCCAGCTATGACGTTGGAGCGGTTTTGGCAAACTTTGGATGATATGTAGATTTGCTGGCAAATTCATATATAAACACAGAAAAGGAAAGTACAATTTGTACTCTGTAGGTTACCCCATGTCACAACCTACCGATAACTAATTTTCTTGTTAAATTGAACAACCTTATTAGAAAAAGACAAATTAGCTTTATTTTTTCTAAGAAACTCATGACTCATGAGTCACTAAAATAACCCTGTTTGCTAGAATGGAACAAGAACAGTGCATCAAGGAGCTATCTAAAAAAAAAATAAAAATCACTTTTGCCCAGTCCCTAAAACACATCCATATGAACTTTAAATTTATCTCTGGAAAAATGACACAAGCATACAGCCATCTTAATCACTTGGAGACATTATCAATAAGAATCTGAGTGTGTCACATGCTGCCCAAGTCAGGCTCTTGACGCCTAGTCATTCGGAACGATTTTGAGTGGTCATGGGACGGTCCATTCCACCAAGTTTTTCAGCCCCATCTTTTACCGATATGGTTGGGGGAAAAGTTTTGGCTCTAAGCCCTCCCTGATGGTGCAGTGGGTTAAAACTCACCACTGTAAAAGTGCCACAGCCACTTCAGTGCGGGTTCAATCCCACCCTGGAGGAGACCCACATGGTGCCGGCAGACCTCTCCTATTTTGCCCACTGCTCCCCTCAGCAGTGTTATTCACCCATCTGCCTGTTCTGCTCCCCTCTTTGTCTCTGTTGAACCCTCTCTCCATCCCTGCACCTCTCTCGTGTACCCCAGTTCTGTATGCATCAATAAATATTAAAAGATTAAAAACCTTTGACTCTAATGGAAATGATGGTTCCCACTTTGGAGATTTTGGAGGCCAACTTAGCACAATTTGCAAGCACTGCTGGAGGCTGCCATGTCAGCTTCACTAGTTCTGTGCCACTTCCCACCACAAACCCCTGAGAGAGCCAAATTGCAGTTCAGTCTCCACTTTAGACAAAACACACAGTGTTAAGCAAAGATAGAGGCGTCTGTCTTGGGGCTATGCTGGGTCCATGCCTACTGGACTACCATGGGGCCTTCGCAGGGAGGTGTTTCCAAGTCAGTCACCAGTGTCCACACAGGAGCATGCCAGTTGTAGTCAGTGGAGTACCTGCTGTTGTGTTCCCACAGCAGTTTCCTTGTCTCCTTACACACACAGTCGATTAAACAGCATTTCCTGGAGCCTACTTAGCCCCCTTTCTTCTGTCTCCAGATTTGGACATGGGGGCGGGTGTCTAATAATTGCATTCTTGAGTGGTTCAGTCCATTTTGGCCTTGTATTTCCTGCCGGCTCCCTGCAGTACATTTCTCTCCCTATACCTGTATTTTCAACTGTATGCTGGTCCAGGACACCCCATCAGTTTGGACAAGTAATGTAGGCTTGTAGTTTGCAAACTTCTTTCAGTAAGTCCATTTTGGCTCCAGTGATCATCCAGGCTGTAAACAGATCACATTTCTTAAAGATACCATTTGCCCTTAGCCCTGGGATTACACACACACACACACACACACACACACATTCACTCACTCATCGTCTTAGAAAACATTTTTCTATCCTCTGGAGCTGGAGAGGATTATGGTAGCTGAAATTATTCAGAAGGAAAAAGAAATACCAGATGGTCTCACTTGTAAGTGGTTTCTCATTATTCTAAAGGAAATTTCAAGAAAAAAGTCAAAATTAGCAAGATGACCACAGCACTAAGGCACACAGCCAAGGAGGGGTGGGAAGGGAACACCACGAGGGAGGGATGAGCACGGGGAATATGGTGATGGTTCATCGGTGATGTGGTGGTAGGAGAGCTATGGAGACAGCAACAATGCAGGGAAAAGGATTTAAGGACCACAGATTTTTAGTGGGCATACTGGTAACAACTGACAAATGTCAGGATTTTATGTTTTGTTTTGTGTTTTCACTCCTTCTCTAACTAGCCTCTATCCTGGCAGAGTCTACCATTTGATGGAAAGTGGCATTGACTCTTTGCTCAGTATACTAGCCCTTCTTTGTGAACCAGCTTAGTGGGAAATTTCCCTTTGATAAGACTCAGCTACCCTAATGATTCTGCTGTACCATATAGGCAGATTTTTGATCATTGAACTGAACTTTGTATTACAACATTCTTTACATTGAGTCCTAGTGTCAAGACTAGGAGGGTTGGAAGTTAAATCTTTTTCTATTTTTAAGTTTAAAAGACTATCTAAAGACCTGAAACTAATACAGCCTTAATGGTTCATGTGTTACTGGATTTTTGTGCAATTCTTCATTTTCAGTTTCCCAAGAAAAGAACTTCCCAACCTTTGCGTTAAGTGCTTTTTTCAGGATATAGACTTACCTGATGTCAGTACTCCTGACAACAAATCTATCTCACCTTCCCGGTAGGCTCTGTTTCCCCACATACTCACACAGAGTAAGATAATATGCACCAAACCAGATGGTCTCACTTGTAAGTGGTTTCTCATTATTCTAAAGGAATAATAATGCAGTAAGTAACTAGGTTTTCTGGGAGCCTACTTTTTAGTGTGACTTTCTATTCTAGGGCAAATAGATCAATGCCTTATAAAAGTTCATCTTCTGTTATAAATGGAAGTGATGACCTCTTTTAGAGAGTCTGAGAGACCTGGTAGCTTTTATTGAAATGCATGCAATCTACATAAACACCTACGTGGTTTTTATCTTTCCATTTTATAGGAAATCAATGTGTTGACAGTCGCATTGGTCAACCAAGACCGAGAGAACAATATTGAGAAAAGAAGCCAAGGCTTGAAATCAGAAAAAGAAGCTCTACTAATTGGTAAGGGAGTTTGATTTTTTTTTTCATGTGTTCTCTTAAATAATTCTCAGGTAATCTGTGTAAATAATGTGTAATGTAACATTAACTGGTAACAGTTTAAACAGTGTTGTCTTCTGATTAAAGGTAAGATTGACTTTGTCAAGTTTCTATTACATAGATTTCAAATTAGTGGCAAACAAACTAGTGTGTGTGGGGTGAGGGGTTGCTTTTCCCTAACCATGTGTGCTGGTTGGTTGTCATACAGGAAACAGAGTTCCAGGAGACAAATGAATTTGTATCTCACATGTTACAAGTCCAAATTTCAAAATATGGACAAGAGGTCAAACAGGTCCAGTTCTAAATGTCCAAACCAACTGATGTAGCACACCTTAAGAGAGGACATCATGAGGTCAACCCTAAGGCCAGACTGTAATTCTGTCAGGATGGGGGCATGTAGGTTATCAGTGCTAATCTAACACAGGATGATCTGATCCCAGATTCCCAAAAAAAACAAAACATGTTAGTCACAACATATGTCTAGGTTGGCTTTTTCTTTGTGCGGTCAAAGCTCTATATGTTTTCTTTTGTTAGTTTTTACCATCAGATCCAGCAGTAGTACTTACTATGACAAGAAGGTGTTTTGAAGAGGATGTGTCGGTGCTGTGCCCAAGGCCCCACTTAGGAACCTGTACTTTGAAGGCTAGACCGAAACCCTCAGCTTGGAGAGGGTAGCCACCATGCTCACTTCCTGACGCACGGCATTGATTGACACAGCACCTTGGCACTGACCTCAGTGTGGGGTTCCAAGTTTAGATGGGCTCCTCCATGGCATAGTTAAGAATGAAGAATGAGACTGTTGTGCATGTGAGATAAGTTGCTCTTCTGCATTTTGTCATCTGGCAGAAGTAGCATTGCATTGCATTTTCTAAATACCACACACTCACCTCAGAATGACAGGTACACCGGGGCCTGTGGAAGCTGGCACAGGAGGAATTACACTCAAAAGACAGTCCAAACTTCATCCATCAAATATAGATTTTTCCACTACAGGGTTATTGAATATGACATCAACTTAGAGATACTCCAAGGAAAACCAATTACTTTTTCTCTCCCCGATGATATACGGCTATAATAACATGCCACGTACAAGTTTCATAAGACATGCTGATGTGCTATCATTTTCGGGAACCCAAAATGAACCCATATGTAGCTGGCAAGTGGCTTTTTCTCTTACTGGAAAACATGTCAAACTCTGACAATTGTTTCTCTTTCCTCAGTGTGACAAAGTTGTGAATTCCCCTGTGATGGTTTTAGGGTATGAACAAAACATACAATGATCAGCTGTAAACTTTCCCTCTTTAAGTTGAAATAATACAGAGCACATGGAGGCTGAAAAATGGAAATGTGTTCTATCTTGTTTGTTTCCTGCTCACTGCAGATTGGTTCTCCTTTTTATGTTGTAATTGGAGAACACAATCCATTTACAATGTCTTCTAAATAATAACCATACCAACTTTCTACCCATCTACTTCAGAAATCTGAGAACAGTGTACTCGCTTGGCATACTGTTGATGAAAACTCAGCAAAACCAGATCTGTTCAAAAAAGTGTAGTGAGTCATGATATTCAGTATAAGGTTGGTATGTTGGCACAAGCAACTCTAAATGTCCCAGGGCATTTCCTTTCACTTCTGGCCTTTTGAACTAGTTGGTGCATATCAGTATGTGGAGTTTGGCATTGAGCAAAGGATAAATAGCAGTGTGAATTAACTTGTAAGAATGTTTAAATAAACGTTCAGCTAGAGCTGTAGGGGTTGACTAAAACTGACAAATCTAATTTCCCTCATTTCTCTAATAAAGGTCTGCGTAAATATTTGGTTTTACTCAAAGTTTAATTACAGATGTAACTTCTTGCCCAAACTCTCCTCAAAATGCTTACGTACTTTTTTTTTTACATCTTTCAATTAGTTATTGTATGTGCATATCCTCATCTGCTATTGCAAATACAGTGCACCCACCACCAACTCACCCGTAGTCTACCAGCATAGATGACTGTGCTTTCTTCCTTTTTTGTTCTTACCCCTCTCACTCACCTTCTCCCCCTCTTGCTGTTGTAGTTCTGTGACCAGCTTTCAAGGGTTAGTATGTTAGTTTAGATACTTTGTAGTGCATGTATTAGTGACACCATGTGGCATGTATCTTTCTCTCTCTGACTTATCTTATGTAGCATTATTCCTTCAAGCTGCAGCCATGTTGGCACAAATGGCATGAGTTGATGTTTTCTGATGGATGACTAGTATTCTATGGTGTATCTATACTTTATATTCTTCATCCACTGACCTGGGTCACTTAGGTTGTTCCCATAGTATAGCTATGGTTCATAGCACTGCAGTGAACATGGGAGTGCAATTTCCTTTTCAATCAGTGGTTATGAATTTGGGGGCTAGATACCTTGGAGTGGAATTGCTGAGTTGTATGGCAGATCATATTTTAATCTTTAAAGAAACCTGCATACTACTCTACATAAGGAGTAGACCAGTTTGCACGCCTACCTGCAGTGTAGAGGCTTCCTCTTTCTCCACACCCATGCCAGTACTTGTTCCTGGTCCTGGTGGATATGGGACATTCTCACAGGTAAGACATGGGCTCTCACTGTGGTCTTGCACTGTATAAGTGACTGCAAACATTGCTTCATGTGCCTGTTTGCAGTATGAATGTTTCCTTTTGAGAGTGCCTATTTAGTTCTTCTGCCTATGTTTTGACTGGTGGTAGAGGTTTCACAGTTACGTAGGTTGTTTTTATAGAGCTTGATGAGTTCTTTATATCTTTGATATTCCAATCAAAGGGAGAATAAACATCTACCTTTGTAATTTAAGTATTTATTTATTTTCAAGATAGTTTACCCAAGGATGCAGGTATGCCCTGCCATTAGATGTTCCTTTTTGCTGAGTTTTACCATTTGTACTTCATAGAAACACATGTGAATGTACTTAGGAAAATAAAGACCTTTGCTGAAGCTTTCGGAATCTCTAGAGGAACTGTGGTGGGGACAGGACATAGGTGCAAAGCTGCTAGAGAGAGAAAGATGTCTGGGTGTTGGCTGTTCTTTCCTTAAGAGCTCTTTCATAGGCCCAGTGTTTCCAGGAGTCCTATGGACTTCTGAAGTGACAGGAAATGGCAGGAGTACTCTTTACAATTAGCCTGTAATATTTGGAATAAGTAAGGCAATGTAGAGGTACAGTGGGACTAGGCTAAGAGCCCAGAAAATATATCTCCCTTCTCATGGAAATACTTGTTGACAAAGCATTTATCATATCTGAGTGTCTACAGTATATACTACATGCCTACACATTCTCAAAATGTGATCCCATAAAAAATGCCCAGGGATAAAAATCTTGATTTGCCTAGAAGAGGGTGAGTGGGAAATAAGCTACCCGAATTGATTCCATCTATGGAAAACATGAAGCGAAGATTAGAATAATTCCTAGGTGTGTGTGATTATTTATGACACTTATTTTGCTGGACAAAAGTATGTATTCTTTCCAGACATTCTTGACCAGTTATATAAAATTGGATTTTTTTTTATATAATAGTTTATTTTTACAACATCGGACTCTTTAAAGCATATATGCTAGGTAAGTACTATAGAAGCTCAATGAGGTTTTCATTGACAACCTTATTTGGAACTTTGCAAAATGGCGTCTAGAGTCCCCTAGGAATTCAACAATCCTGACAAGCTTTCTTCTTGCCAATTAAAGGGGAGCAAATGCTTTGTTCCAAGGTGAACTAAAGGAAACCGTAGAAAATAGTTTATTAGTGTAATTACGGCTTACTTTTTTTGCAGTCTATCCTGAATCACGCCTGGCATATTATTGAATGTATGATTTTGATGGATATATTTCAGCATAGCATCCTACATCTCCCAACGCTATAGTAACCAGTTGCAGAGGAGGTCAATGTGACATTGCAGGTGTCTGTGCTGGAAGTTCCAGTCATTTCACAGGTGGCCTTCAGGTTGGGTGTGGTATGCTTTAAGCTCAGTACTGAGGATTTAGGATCATAGGTTTGGTGCTGTGCTGGACTGAAAAACAGTTATTGTAGATAAAGGAGCAATGGGCTAATAGTTCTAAGGCGTTGTGATGGTAGAAATTGGGCAGAGTGTGACCACACCATCACTGGAGTGGAATGGTATCATAGACTGACTCTTGTTTGCTTCCCACTAACGTGCAACATTTGTCCTTTTAATCCAGGCATCATATCCACGTTTCTTCACGTCCACCCCTTTGGGGCAAACATAGAATATCTTTGGTCATACATGCAGCAGCTGGACTCCAAGGTAAGTTCCTGGAGTCACGATGCTGAAGTGCCAGGTGTTGGCTTCTGGCTCCACACGCTCCCTGAGCTGCTACAGGGAGATCTGTGTGTGGTGGTCATGGGGTGCTCCTGAACAAGGACCTCAGAGTGGGGGCGCGTAGGTGGATGTACTTGCTTTTGTCTTTGTAGAAAGAGAAGGTATCCCAAATAAGGCTTTCAAGGACTTCCCGGGTTGTGCACTGGTTAAAGACATCATGATGAAGGTCTCCGCAGCCAAGGCCGCGCCAGCTCCATCCCCCGCCAGGGAGCTGACCCACGTGGCACAGCAGAATCTGCCTGATGCTGCCCTCAGCAGTGGAGCTCAGTCACTGCCCCTGTGTTGCTCCCCACTCTGTCACATGAGTCTTGCATACATAAATAAATCATCTTATTTTTCGTAAATAAAGCTTTCAGCAGAAGTCAAGTTGCTTTGAAAGACATGAGGGATTTAAGGTTGCAGGGCAGCCTGAAAAGTCCCCCCAAAAGTACAAGTTATGGAAGGGTGGCTGGCTCACTATTTAATTCCATCAATCTCTGAAGGAATTACATTAATGACCATCTCAAAATTGTCCATAGAATTTAAAGGAGGTGACTTCCAAACACCATTTCAGAAACATTGCCCAGGTTGAGAAACAAAACTGTAGGCCAGTGCCTCAAATGAACTAACAAAAATCCTCACATGCTACCAAACTACCAAATTTTAATATTAAAAAATAATCATAAACCATGATAAACATGGGCTTATTCCATGGATAGTCTCACAGGATGCTATACTAACGACTCGACACAAGAGTCACCTCAGATAACAAAGATGTGATGACACTGAAGGAACATGTCAGCATATGTCAGTGGCTCTATTCCTCGCCTCTGCGAAGCATATACCTCCCAACACACACAGCTTTATTATAAGAGATGGAAGAGTTCAACTTATGAGACATGATTCTGTTGAAATTTCACCCATTGGGTAGAGAACACATAAGCTGGCTCGTCCCCTCGTCCCCTCGTCCCCTCGTCCCCTCGTCCCCTCGTCCCCTCGGCCCCTCGTCCCCTCGTCCCCTCGTCCCCTCGTCCCCTCGTCCCCTCGTCCCCTCGTCCCCTCGTCCCCTCGAAAAAAAGAGACAAGGCAAAGTTGGAGGATTGTAGGTGAATACTTACTAATGGAAACATTCCTTAAATTTTTGTCAAATTAAAGAAAATCACCAAATAAGGATCTCAGGTTGAATCTTAAAGATGGTCCTATATACACGGTTGTAGTTTCAGTTGTTTTCTCTATTCCTCTGCCTTCCCAACACTGTACAGTAAGTCACTGTGAGAACCATTCCATCCATAGTTCTGTCCTTTGGCTTCAGCAATGTACATTTAGTCCTGACCAGAGTAAGGAGGCTGAGGTTAAGGAGCTTTCCAGGTGGTGATGGCTTGGTAACCTCCATATCCATTCAGACTTTCTCCTCCTGCTCGTGAGAGAGCCAAGCTATGAAGAATGTCCTGGAACTCGCCACCCATTACACTCATGTCCCACCTCTGTGAAGCTCACAGGAGGAAGAGGGTAGGTGAGCCCAGAACGAACTCATGCTATCATATAAGGTCTTACAAGCCACAGAAAACTAGACTGTTCTTTTCCTCACTAGAAACATTTTTAACTAACTCCTTTTCTCTCTCATAGAACTTCTCCCCAAAATTGACTTCTCTTCCTTTCAAACAGATATCTGCAAATGAAATTGAAATGCTTTTGATGAGGCTGCCACGCATGTTTAAACAAGAATTCACAGGTGTGGGAGCAACACTGGAAAAAAGGTGGAAGCTGTGTGCCTTTGAAGGAATTAAAACTGCCTAACTGAAACACAAGAATTCTGTGGAAATGAAGCCGTGTGAACCCAAGTGGGGCTATGCAGTGTCAGACTGGCAAGTCTGGGGGGCCCCGCCTGGGACCTTTGTGCAGCCATCAGATGGGACATTCGTCCCATCCGTGGCATTCTCTTGTGAGTGGAAGTGTAATTGTGTGCCAGTTCCTTACAACCAAGCTCATACTGTGACAGATCTGTTTCCTATGAAAACCAAACAGTGGTTCCACCGTTTTAATGATGGCAAAAACCTTACAATATGCCACATTTCAGAACAGCTCACCACACAAAATATCTCAGTTAATGATGTAGCAATGGTTGTTGCTAGGCTACACAGTTGTATATGTAATGTATAGCTGAAATCATTCAATGACATTTTCCTCAAAGACTATCTTTGTCTTCTTAAAAAGTAATTTTACAGTGAGGAAAAATCATACCAAAAGAAAACTTGAATATGTGTCTGAACATTTATTGTATTTTGTAAATTAAGTTAAATGCTGTTCCAGGGACTTTGCCTTATTGAAGAGGCATAAAATGTGATTGGACCCCTTGAGAATGCTTTATCGAGAATATTATTTTTCTAATGTAACAATTCTCCATCGTTAGTTCTTTTAACATGGACTGCATAACAATTTTCATAAAATGTAAATAAAGGAAAGATTAGTGCTACTGTCTTGTACTTGGTATGTAACATTCAGGTTTATGCATCAGAATAAACATTCATAAATATTATTCCTGTTACAAATTTTATAGCAAATATATTAATTTTTTCCAATAAATATGACTTCTACCATACCGGTTTTGCCAATTATTCCTTGATGTAATTGAAAGCAAGCTTACTTATTCCTTAACTTCTAAACAGATTCAATGTTTGAAGGGTATTAAAAGATACAGCAATGAATAACTTATGGTGGGCAGTACTAAGAAATTATCAGGCATTAGACTGAACAATGTCTGCAAATACCAAGATATAGCCTCGAAACCTGATACAATTCTACCCTTGTTTTGGGCCTTCGTGGGTAGGTACACTGTAGCCATTTAGTTTTTATTTCTTGAATTTATCTCTTTGGGAACATACCAGTTAGAAAAATTCAACAGTTAGCACTCAGATTTACAATTTAGGCAGCATTTGATATTTCGTTCTGGCATCCCCTTTTTTCTCTCACAAATACAATACAGTTTGAAATTAAATCTTCTTTCTGATTCCTTATACAAGATTCACAAAAATTGAACTCTGGAACTTATTACTTTTAAATGAAATAATTTTTAGGATACCTTCAGTTAGTGTTCTTTGAAAATCTGACAAGATATTCTCATTTCTCACTGAACATTACCATCCTCCACCCTCAGTCTTCATTGACCCTTGGTAATTTCAGGCATTTATTCTCAATTCCCATATATACCTACTAATGCCTGGCACAGTACTAATGCTAATTTGGAGATAAGTAAGACCCTTTCTCTTTAATTAACCCTAACTACAATGGGGAAAACGTTTTGCCAAATCTTCTCCATCACATGAGGTGATATGACAAGGTGCTAAGTGATTCTGATCAATATCAGTAGCACAGGAAACAGTCCACAATAGAGGTTATTTCAGTACCATCCATCAGTGCCCAGTACTAACATCATTCTGACATGTTTATTTAAGTCAGGAAACAAATATGCATTTAACAATTGAAGAGTGACCTCATTTATGGATCATGTCATTGGAAAATAACATGAAAAGGCTCACCTGAAAAACCATCAAAAAAAAGGTCTGAAGTGTCCAATTAGACCAAGCCTAGCAAGGTACAAGGAAAGACATCATACTAAGCTTCTGTAACTGCAAGCATGAATGATTTCCAGCATGGCCCAAGGCCCCAAGATAGCAGCCTATAGTGCACAAACTAGACTCTATCAACATGAAGCTCTGATCACAATAAGGATATGGACACACCTCACCATCAAGCACACAAGACACTATATTCTAAACCTGTATTCTGTTCTGAATAACTACTCACAGGCCTGAAATGGTTCATATAGCTTTGAAAATTTTCAATTACTGCAGTAATCACAGAAGTACGTTTCTACATTGAAATCCTATGCAGTACCACAGAGGAAGATCCATTTTCCCTGTAATATTTTAGTTCATACTTGTAATCAGTACATTTCTAGACAACGGATTTCATCTCTAGTTATCTAAGTCTTGCATACTGCTATGTACCCAGTTCAAGATCTTGTGTTCCAACAAGCTTAATATTCAAGGTTTGCAAAGCCTTACAACCTGGCCTGACAGGTCTTTCTGATTTGCTTATCATTTACCTGAGTAATAGTGTTCCTGTCCTTTTCCTGCTTTCACTCATCTTTCCATCCAAAACCAATACCCTCATTCAGTTGTCACGAGATGTGCCACACTACTTCACTGCCATAACAGACAATGAAATACCCCTGCAACCTCCTCACTTGGCAAGCTCCACTCCATCCCAGGAAGAGAACTGACTTCTCCTGCCTCTACATAGACACTCATGGACACTTTCTCCCCTGCCCTCTGTTTCCTTCTTTCCCTATTAGATGACAAACTCTTTAAGGGGTCTGAGCATGGCTGATTTACTCAGTTGTTTCCTCAAGTGCAGGACAGAGTCAACTGAGGTATTGTTCATGTTCAACTAGGAGTCTGCTTCCAGAAAGAAAAGCTGAAAATATACATCCATAGGGGGAAAATATAACAGCAGTACCATGCCTAATACTTAAATGCCCTAAGTAATCTCATTCCTTCTGTCGCATTAAGCACACCTCAATAATCAACTTTTCTGACAGGATCGGCTCCCTCAGCTACCTCCTCCCACGTGAACCATTAGTATTCATCCCCTTTGTACTGTGGACTTTCTACTGTGTTGTAATCCTTTCTGTGTGTGGCTCTCTCCAAGTTCTGTAGGCAAGAGATTGTCCTTACTCGGGCCTCTAGTCCCTCACTGTGTAGTATCACATAGCCTGACTTTTACATGAAGATGCACCATAGCTCATGAATGAACTCAGTGAATGAAGCAATAGTATACCAGAAACCTCCTCCATCTATTCAATCCTAACATTAAGTTGCTACGTCCAATAAGACAGGATAGCACTTTCTAATCCTCACTTATACAATCTTGGCAGACTTGTTACCTTTTGTTAGAGAAGATAAAGAGCTGGCATAGAATACCAACAGACCAAAGCTAACTGAAGACGTTGGTTTCTTCATCGAGCAACGCAGGCAAGCCCTTCCCCCAGTAATAGTCAATAGTTGTCCTTGCATATCAAGGCAATAATGTATTTCTAATGTAGGCATAAAGTAAGCAGCAGCCCCAGAAATGATGTTCAAATGATGGACAGAAGCAAGATAATGGCAATTCCCTAAACTACAAAGGCCTTCATTGCTCTTACAGGCAATAAGTGCAGCCACTATCGCCTTGACCTTCAACACAGAAAACGTAGAGTTGCAGGGAAATGTTGTAGTTCCATTTTCCATTATTGATAAGATTTCCAACAAGCAATCATTAGGGTCACATACATTCAACTGTGAAGGAACTATATGACTCTGGGCTAACGCCATTTAGAATGATGGTCAACTAGTAAGCAATATGCAAGATTTAAATAAAGTATTAATTACATTGCTTTATACCCAACAGAGACTTTGTCAGGAAAAATTATAGTTGTAGCTGGAGCATACGCAAGTATTACTTTAGGGAACATACGTATCTATTATGGTTGCTGAGAGTATCAAAGTAGAGAACTCTACTAAATCTAGTAATTACAGACTGGTTGTGTTAATAAAATTTGCTATTTGGCTCCGAGTTTTTAACTGTTTGTCTATGCTTACAATGAATATCGTTCAAACATTTGTACCTCACATGCCATATACAAAGTACATTTTTCAGTAGAGGGCTATGTAATGGAATGATCTTACTTCATGGGAATATAACAGCCTCATATAAATAAATTGCAGACAGTTTACAATAGAAAATCATGCTTTTCTATACAAAGCAAAAAAGTGGTTAATATACAACAGAAAGAACACAGCCTATAATCAAATGCATTTTTTGGTCTAACAAATATATTTATTGTGTGCTGAAAATTGTACTGTCTTCCCCTGCACCTAGACATTTCTATTACAAAGCTCATCTGCTATTGTGGGGAGTGACACCCTTTTTCTTGTTTACTAAAGTACTCTGTCTTAATATCAGCCCACAATACTGTCAGGTTCACTTAGGGAGAGTTATGTGTAGATAAGAATAGGAATGAATCAGACACCAGAATAGTCTATTTCATCTGCTTTTCATATCTGAGCAAGTGCTGTATAATCTACTACATGTGGTAAAAATCTCTTGTTGAATAGCGTTTTGTTTTCAGAGGAAAGAGCTAAAAATTGGTCAATTTGAGATCTCATCAACAAATAAATCATTTCTCTCTGAATATGTTTATGTGTAAGGGTGTGTTTCCTAGATATTTTTTTTCTTTTCAGATAAAATGTTAAGCATAGGCTCAGAAGTTAAAGACTGTCTTCAGGAGGAGATAATATATGAAAATTATATTTGGTCATTTATTGAACAGACATTGATCTTAACATCTACTCAATATATCATGCAGCATTTTTATTGCTCACAATCAGTGATTCAAGTTGCCAAAAAAAAAAAATGCTAGCAATTCTTAGTGCAATTGTCCATTTGGCAACCAGATGTCATTTCACAGCTCACTGTCCATTTCTTGAGCAGATAACTCACTTTGTACCCTGAAATGTTCAGTGGTGCTGTGCCAGCGTGGCAGCAAATGGCAGGAAGCAGGGAACGGACAAGAAATGCTACAATGACCAGTCCAGTATTTGCTGTTGCTGCTTAGTGATAAGAACTTGGAAAGAAAGCTTCCAGCCTTTTAGTTCTCCAGCTGATCTTGGTGATTACCTCATCACCAAGGCAGTTTATTTAGGTGTTCAAAGGCATTATACTTCAATTAAGCCAACTGGGTAATCGCATTCCTAGGTGGTATCAACAGATATTATAATCTTCTAGGATCTCTCACCTATTATCTCCTAGAGTCTTTCAGTGATTTTGCCATTACCGAGTCCTACGAGGTCATCTAAGACTTGAACTCTTCCAGCAAGTTTCAATGTCATAGGCTCAGAATTGAAAAGCATCTGTTCTCACCACTGAAATCAAATGGAGTCAGCTTCCTGATCCTCCCTGAAATAGCTTCACTTAAACATAATGAGAATGGTGGATTGTGTACAACTACTTCTATTTCCAACAACCCCAGATTTCCCACACCCCACTGGGAGGCTTAGGGACACATGAAGTCAAAGAACAAGCACAGTTTCTAACTCAAGCGATATCCTGGAAGAGTCTTGGCAAAGACAAGCCTGTTGTGTTTTCTCAAAAAGAAAAAATACATTATTCAGAGGAAACAGGAAAACAAAGCACTTGGAACACTAAGTATCTTCTACCTGGTCCTCAGCCTCCAGTAAAGATTGGATTCTTCCACCAAAATATTCCAATAATAAAACATCTACCTTCTGATTGTTTATGATTTATTACTTTTTTGGAGAAGCAACCTGATATTTTACCCCATTCTTCCAGCTTCCAGGTTTAAGAAAAAATGCGAGGGGAGAACAGATAAGAAGATGTGGTTTGGCATTCTTGAAATCTAGAGGAGTAGGTTGGGATACAGGAGCCCCCAACTCCTACTCTGCCTTATAAACCAGTTGGCGTCAGTTAACACTTCCTCTTTTCGCCATTGGGCCTTGCCCTGTGTGTATATTTTACTAGTCCATTGATTCATCAGGTCAAGGG